TGCCTCCTAATACCACTCCTCTCCTGCAGCCCATGGACCAGCAGGTCATTGCAAACTTCAAGAAACTGTACACAAAAGCTATGTTTGAAAGGTGCTTTGTAGTGACCTCAGAAACTCAACTGACTCTAAGAGAGTTTTGGAGAGATTACTTTAGCATCCTCAATTGTGTAAACATTATAGGTAAGGCTTGGGAGGAAGTGACTAGGAGGACATTGAACTCTGCTTGGAAAAAACTGTGGCCAGAATGTGTAGACAAAAGGGATTTTGAAGGGTTTGAGGCTAACCCTGGGAATCCTGTGCCAGTTGAGGAATCCATTGTCGCATTGGGAAAGTCCTTGGGGTTGGAGGTTAGTGGGGAGGATGTGAAAGAGCTGGTGGAGGAGGACAATGAAGAACTAACCACTGATGAGCTGCTAGATCATCTTCAACAGCAAGAGGCCACACCTGAGGAAACTGCTTCGGAGGAGGGGATAGAGAAATTGAGGAAGTTGCCTACTTCAAAGATTAAGGAAATGTGTGCAATGTGGTTTAAAGTGCAAACCTTTTTTGATGAAAATCACCCTGACACAGCTACTGCAAGCTGTGTTGGCAACCCATACACTGACAATGTTGTGAAACACTTTAGGAATGTCATAAAGGAACGGGAGGTACAGGCCTCTATGGACAGATATGTTGTGCGACAGAGGTCCAGTGACTCAAGCTGGTCCTAGTGGCATTAAAAGAAGAAGGGAAGTAACTCCGGAAAAGGACTTGCCACCTCAAGTCCTAATGGAAGGGGATTCCCCTTCTAAACACTAACACCATCAACACTCTCCCCTCCTCCCATCCCATCAATCATCACCAGATCTTCAATAAAGGTTAGTGTCATGTAATTGTGCATGTCTTCTTCAGTTTGTGTGTATTAAAATTAATATTTCATGTGGTAAAAAATATTTTTTTCAATACTTTGGGGTGTCAGGAACGGATGAATTTGATTTCCATTATTTCTTATGGGGAAAATTAACTCGACTAACGATAATTTTGATTAACGATGAGCTCTCAGAAACGGATTAATATCGTTGGTCGAGGGTCCACTGTATATAATGTAATGTATATCGCTCTAGTATATAATGCAATGTTCACTCGAGAAACAAAGCCAAACTGACTCACAACGCCTGCGTGAGGAGGCGAGCAGGCGCAGGGCAGGCGGACAGGTTTGGTATGTGGTTCGAAACGCGGGGCATGTTCAATACTCGGGACAAAACTGGTGCAAAAAAAGCGGTCGAAAATTGAAGCGTTCAACAGACCATGAGTTCGAAACTCGGGGTTCCACTGTAATACATTTTAAGAAAAAGAGGATAAATAAGTTTACATGATACAGCATGTAATGAAAGTAGTTTGTCAGATTATGTATTGGTGGATAAAAGGTTGATGGGTAGACTTCAGGATGTGCATGTTTATAGAGGGACAACAGATATACCAGATCATTATTTAGTTGTAGCTACAGTTAGAGTAAGAGGTAGATAGAGCAAAAGGAAAATGGCAACAGTAAGTAAGAGAGAGGAGGCAGTTTATAAACTAAGGGAGGAGGAAGTTAGGGTGAGATATAAGCAACTATTGGGAGAAATGTGGGCTAATGAGAGTAGAGGTAGTATGGGAGTCAAAGAAGGGTGGGATAGTTTTAAAAAGGCAGTGTTAGAATGCGGAGCAGAAGTTTGTGGTTACAGGAGGGTGGGCGCAGGAGGAGAGAGGAGTGATTAGTTGAATGATTAGGTAAAGGATGTGATAAAACAGAAGAAGGTTGTGTATGAGAGATTTTTATTGATCAGAAGTGATATAAGAAGAGTGGATTATATAGAGAGTAAAAGAGAGGTGAAGAGAGTGGTGAGCGAGTGCAAAAGGAGAGCAAATGATAGAGTGGGTGAGGGGCTGCCAACAAATTTTGCTGAGAATAAGAAAAAATTTTGGAGTGAGATAAATAGGTTAAGAAAGCCTAGGGAACAAATGGATTTGACAGTTAAAAACAGAATAGGGGAGTTAGCAGGTGGGGGAGTTGGAAGTATTGAGAAGATAGCGGGAATATTTTGAGGAATTGTTAAATGTTGATAAAGAGAGGGAGGCAGCAATTTCATGCATTGGCCAGGGAGGTATAACATCTTTTAAGAGGGAAGAAGACCCAAATGTGAGTGTGGGGAGGTGAGTGACACATTACGTAGAATGAAAGGAAGTAAAGCAGCTGGAATTGATGGGATCATGACAGAAATGTTTAAACCAGGGGGATTTATAGTGTTGGAGTGATGGTACTTTTATTCAATAAATGTTTGAAAGATGATAGGGTACCTAGGGATTGGCAGAGAGCATGTATAATTCCTTTATATAAGAGAAAGGGGAACAATAGAGATTGTAAAAATTATAGGAGAATAAGTTTACAGAGTCCCTTTTCCTGTATATATTACTGAAGTTAAAAAGAGAAACTTTCATTTTTCTTTTTGGGCCACCCTGCTTCGGTGGGATACGGCCGGTTTGTTGAAAGTAGTAGTAGTAGTAGTTTATTGAGTATACCAGGTGATGTGTATGGTAGGGTTATTATAGAAAGAATTAGAGATAAGACAGAAAGCAGGACTGCAGATGAACAAGGAGGCTTTAGAATGGGTACGGGATGTGTAAATCAAGTGTTTACATTGAAGGTTACAAGTGAACAATATTCATTACAATTATGGATTTAGAAAAGGCATATGACAGAGTGAGTGGATAGGAGAGCAATGTGGCAGATGTTGCAAGTGTATGGAATAGGTAGTAAGTTACTAAATGTTGTAGTTTTTTTTTTTTTTTGAGGATAGTAAGGCTCTGGTTAGGGTGTGTAGGAGAGAGGGAGATTACTAACCAGTAAAAGTAGGCCTTAGACATGGATGTGTAATGTCACCATGGTTGTTTAACATATTTATAGATGGAGTTGGGATTAAATTATGGGGAATTAAATACAAAGAAGTTGCAAAGGTTAGGGAGTTTGGGAGTGTGTGTAAAGAAAGAAAGTTGAAAGTGAACATGGATAAGAGCAAGGTGATGAGGGTATCAGACGAGTTAGGTGAAGAAAATTTGGATATCACATTGGAAAGAGGGAGTATGGAAGGAGTGAATGTGTTCAGTTATTTGGGAGTAGATTTGTCAGCAGATGAGTTTATGAAAGACAAGGCTAACCATAGAATTGATGATAAATTAGACACATGTGCAACTCTTGGGTATCTTTATTGAGGAAACGTTTCGCCACACAGTGGCTTCATCAGTCCATACATAGGAGAAACTTGAAGAACAGGAGGAGAATGAGGTAATCAGTCCCTCAACCTTGAGTCGATGTGTTCAGTCCATCAATCTACTCAAGATTGATGGACTGAACACATCGACTCAAGGTTGAGGGACTGATTACCTCATTCTCCTCCTGTTCTTCAAGTTTCTCCTATGTATGGACTGATGAAGCCACTGTGTGGCGAAACGTTTCCTCAATAAAGATACCCAAGAGTTGCACATGTGTCTAATTTATCAACATGTCGGTTCTCTGAACCATTCAACATAGAATTGATGAAGGAAAAAAGGTGTGTGGTGCATTGAGGTGTCTGTGGAGACAATAAACATTATCCATAGAGGCAAAGAAGGGAATGTAAGAGAGTATAGTGGTACCAACACTCTCATTTGAGTGTGAAGCATGGGTTGTGAATACTGCAGCGAGGAAGCTGGAGGGAGTATAGATGTCATGTCTAAGGGCAATGCGTGGTGTAAATATTATGCAGAGAATTCATAGTGTGGAAATTAGGAAGTGTGGAGTTACTAAAAGTATTATTCAAAGGGCTGAGGAGGGGTTGTTGAGGTGGTTTGGTCATTTAGAGAGGATGGAGCAAAATAGAATGACTTAAGAACATAAGAACATAAGAATGTAGGAACACTGCAGAAGGCCTACTGGCCCATATGAGGCAGGTCCTTATCAAAACGACCTCTACCTAAAGCTACCCAAGAAATAACTCCCGTACCCCATGACACCAATCAAACCCAGCCCCTCCCACTCATATATTTGTCCAGTCTCTTCTTAAAGCTACCCAAGGTCCTAGCCTCTATCACCCCACTGGGAAGACTGTTCCACGCATCTACAACTCTGTTAGAAAACCAGTACTTACCTATGTCCTTTCTAAATCTAAATTTGGAGGGTGTATAAATCTGTAGTGGAGGGGAAGAGGGGTAGGGGTTGTTCTAGAAAAGGATGGAGGGAGGGGGTAAAAGAGGTTTTGTGTGCAAGGGGCTTGGACATACAGCAGGCATATGTGAGCATGTTAGATAGGAGTGAATGGAGATGAATGGTTTTTGGGACCTCACAAGCTGTTGGAGTGTGAGCAACGTAATATTTTGTGAAGGGATTCAGGGATACCAGTTAACTAGACTTGAATCCTGGAGGTGGGGAGTACAATGCCTGCACTTTAAAGGAGGGGTTTGGAATATTGGCTGTTTGGGATGACATCTGAATTGTCGTATCTGGGCATCTCTGCAAGGACAGTGATTATGTGTGAATGATGATGAAAGTGTTGAATGATAGCGAGTGTTTCTTTTTTTGGGTTGCCCTGCTTCGATGAGAGACAGCCAACGTGTGAAATTTTTTTTTAAAGGATGTTGTTATTTTGTGTTTAATTATTTTCTCAAATCTATTTATGTATGTATGAAACTACTCATTATGATGTGTTCTATCAAATTAGCCACAAGAAAAATTAGAGACAGCCTCCAACATACTCAACTGGCCAGCTCCCCAAACCAAACACCCACCCACCCTTTATTAAGGATAACCGAGTACTTACTGTATAATTAAGGATAATCACCTATTTTTACAACCTATATTCAGTATATTAACATAAATGTAATGAATATTTTATGCAAATAAATATTTAAAAGAATGCTCTAACAGTCATGGACCAGACCATGGAGGGTGTTGACTCCTAGAACACCTTCCAGAAACACCCTCCTGGTAACATGATCTGACTTACTTGCTCTTTTTCTTCCTTCCTGACAGTGAAAGATGCAAGCTTAATACGAGTTGACAAACGAAGACCGAGAGTGGCGATCAGCAGAGGAGGGCTCAGAAGTTCAGAAATATACACTACACGTGGAACCTGGTAAGGAAAACAAGGAACACTGAATGAAAACAAGATGAAACTGAGCTGCCTGATTATTTTCTTCACCAATCAAGACTTAGGATGGCACTAATATAGTGATGCATACATCACTAGTGATACATACATCACTAGTGATGCATATCACATCACCAGTGATGCATATTACATCACATCACTAGTGATGCATATTACATCACATCACTAGTGATGCATATTACATCACATCACTAGTTATGCATACTGCATCACTAATAATGTTTAACCAATGTTTAACCAGATTGATCTAGTGATGCAGTATGCATCACTAGATCGATCCAGTTAAACATCACTGGGTGCGCAGAGTGACTATGGACACAGCTTCATCCTTAACTAAGATGATCTCAATTAGTAACATATTTCCTCTCCCAAATATGGGCATATTATAATTAACTATTATCTTACAAATCTTCCAGCAGGCAAATATAGTCTAACCCAAACATGTCAGGGCCAGGAGCTTTCCAAAACATCAAAGTATTGTATGCAGCTATAATTACTATTAGCAGAGAACACTTCTTAAAGAGCAGCAACAGAATGTACAGATGCAATACAAGACACAAATACTGTATCTCTATGATATACCACATGTCTGACTCAAAGTGAGGCAGAAACTCCTTGCGGACAGAAGACTTAAAAACCTCCTGAACCTGAAGTGAATTTATGAAGATAGAATAATAAATTCTCCATGGAGAAGTGGAATAGACTTCTTCCTCCGTAAGCCATGCGTGTTGTAAGAGGCGACTAAAACGCTGGGAGCAAGGGGCTAGTAACCCCTTCTCCCATATAAATTATTAAATTTAAAAAGAGAAACTTTCGTTTTTCTTTTTGGGACACCCTGCCTTGGTGGGATACGGCCGGTGTGTTGAAAGAAAGAATAATAAATGTCAAATGTATCTAGAGTAACCTACCCATCCAGACTTATTAGCACTAATACTTATGCACTTCTTGCCCCAACTATATTTCTACTCTCCCCCCAAAAAATTATTGCAAAAACTGCTAATATTGTTTAGTGTTATTGTCCCTTCATATAAAGAATGCTATTTTAACCCTTTCAGGGTTTCCGACGTACTAGTACGGCTTACGCACCAGGGTTATTGACGTACAAGTATGCCTAAATTCTAACGCCTTCAAATTTAGCAAGAGAAAGCTGGTAGGCCTACATATGCAAGAATGGGTCTATGTGGTCAGTGTGCACAGTATAAAAAAAATCCTGCAGCACACAGTGCATAATGACAAAAAAAAACTTTGACCATGTTTTTGGTTTAAAACAGAGACTTTGCAGTGTATTTTTGTATGGTATTTATGGTTGTATTCTAGTTTTCCTGGTCTCATTTTATAGAATGGAAGACATATTACAGAAACTGAGATGATTTTGATTGGTTTCACAATGAAAAGTACCTTGAAATTGAGCTCAAAATAGCAGAAATGTTTTATTTTTGCCAAAGTTCAGAAGTAAACAAATCATGCCACGCATCCAATACACGTCAACTGGTGAGTCTAATATTCTTTCACAAGTGCTCTGATATTATTTATACCATTTCTACACTAATGCAGTAGTCTGCATAACAGTAAATCTTCTATTTTTTTGTGAGAATAAAAATTCAAAGTGGAAAGCAAAAGAAATGTAAGAGGGGCCTGGGGACATGACTAATGAACAGAGGAAATGTTATTTTAGTGCCAGGAATGTGTGTCTTGTCTATTCTGGGGCCAATTTGGAAATTGGAATCCTTTGAAATTTGTGTGAAATTGGCAAAATTGCTAATTTCTGACCGTTTTATTGGATAGTTGAAATCAGTAAATGGGTGGTTTCTTGTACTCATTCGATAGAAAAAATGGAGTTCTAGCGAAATAGTTATGATTTTTGTCAACTAGTACATTGGAATTGGCCAAAAATAGGGCTCAAAGTGGACGAAATCGCCGATGCATAAACATCGTCGAGACCGCTAACTTCACGAGAGCATAATTCCGTAAGTTTTCCATCAAATTTCAAACTTTTGGTGTCATTGTGATTAGGAAAAGATTCTCTATCTTTTCATAAGAAAAATAATTTTTTTTTTTCCGAAAAACTTTCGACCCTGAGAATAGGAGAGGGCCTCTCGACCCTGAAAAGGTTAATTAGTAGAGCTGTGTTACTTAGAATGATCACTATATTTGAAAATCTTATCTTCTGACAATTTGGTTGTTAAACCTAGCATTCATACAACCAGCTTTAGCAATTCAATGTCAAGTAATTTTAGGTTCGAGGTTTAGTCTGCCCAAAATGCTTTCATATTTATGGGCTTTTCCATGTAAGAAACTACAAATATAAATTTATAGTACATATATACGTAGTATACAGTATATGATGAAGAACCTATAGTCTCATCTGGGATAAAAGTGTGTCAGAACCAATGTAATTAATGTGATGGATGCTGAAATTAAGTAACAGGTGCTAAGTTAGATTGAAAAACATATGCAGTCCAGTACTGTATTTCCTCTTGTTTTAATAAAGATGTGCCAGATTATCCTAGGTAGTAGGTTGGTAGACAGCAACTGCCCAGGGAGGTACTACCGTCCTGCCAAGTGAGTGTAAAACGAAAGCCTGTAATTGTTTTACATGATGTTAGGATTGCTGGTGTCTTTTGTCTGTCTCATAGACATGCAAGATTTCAGGTATGTCTTGCTACTTCTACTTACACTTAGGTCACACTACACATACATGTACAAGCATATATATATACACACCCCTCTGGGTTTTCTTCTGTTTTCTTTCTAGTTCTTATTCTTGTTTATTTCCTCTTATCTCCATGGGGAAGTGGAACAGAATTCTTCCTCCGTAAGCCATGCGTGTCGTAAGAGGCGACTGAAATGCCGGGAGCAAGGGGCTAGTAACCCCTTCTCCTGTATATACAGTGGACCCCCGGTTTACGATCAGCTCCCAATGCAACCAATTATTTAAGTGTATTTATGTAGTGCGTTTGTACGTGTATGTTTGGGGGTCTGAAATGGACTAATCTAATTCACAATGTTCCTTATGGGAACAAATTCGTTCAGTAATGGCACCTGAACATACTTCTGGAATGAAATAATATCGTAAGCCGGGGGTCCACTGTATTACAAAATTTGAAAGGAGAAACTTTCGTTTTTCCTGTTGGGCCACCCCACCTCGGTGGGATACAGCTGGTGTGTTGAAAGAAAGTGCCAGATTATTCATGCATCATCTGAATTAGAAGTTGCAGTATGTGCATATTATAAAATTGTACATTATATAAAGGAGTAACTATTTTTAATATAAAGTAATATACATGTCTTAGCTTCAGTGTTGCTGTACACCACAATGAAAAAGTCATTGGCAATATTTCTGGCATCCTCATCCTGACCATGTCATGATTTTTCACAACTTTAAATTGATTATTTACACAAGTTACAGAACATTTAATCAACACCTCAAATAAAAGGAATAGGAACAATGAAAATATAACATAATACCACACATCATCACATCACAGGGCATCAGTAACCCTGCCAGATGACTCTCCCTCATAAATTTCGGGCTCTTAATGCAGTGTATTTTTGGTCATCTACATTCCCACAGGTGATGAATTATGACCCTGAGTAAACAACCCTTGCAACCCTATTTATCTTGGCAACTCCCTTTTCTCTTGCTCACTCATTTACAACTTTTGGGGTAGACAGGGTTGTTTGGAGGGGGAGTAAGGAAAAAGGGAAGGTATATTTCTCTGTGTAATGTTATTCCATATTTTAAGTGTGTATCATTATTACAAAATTATTGTGCTACTGATGACTAAGCACTACACTCACATGGGGAACAGGGAGAAGCAATCAGGTTCAATTTGATGAAGAGAAGAGGCAGCTCCAATTTTTAAGATCAAGAGCTTTTCACTAACATCAACAAAATTCTCCCAGCTCCTCTGAGTGGCTAAGCAATTGCTAGCTTAAATGTTCAAAGAAAGATCAAGTGAGGAAAAAGCAGTCCTGATAGCTAATTTCTTAATTCAACTTCCTCCAAACCATTTCTCAATACATACCTTTTCCTTGTCTACTTTGGCCACATTGAGCCAAGTGTCTTCTAGTTGTTTCACCTCCTGAAGCACATCAACTCGTGATAATATGTGTCCATACAGCCAGGTAAGTACAGACAAGACAGTAAGATGGGTAGTGGAGGTGAAGACAATATGTTCACGGCCAGGTAATCTACCTGGATTCCGGCCAGTAGTCAGTTTATTAGCTTGTTGGCTTGGTGGCAGAATGAGTACCAGCTGAGGATGACTCCATCCTTGTTTTGCACAAAATCTAAAATCAAATACTGTAATACTTTACTGTATTCAATGCATTAGAAAATACTGAACAAGTGCTACAAGTGCTATACTGCAGTATAACGTATATAATCTTTACAAGGCGTCAAACCCTTGTTGCTACATAAAAATTAAAAAATGAATTTACTCGTATCAGTGGGGAATATGTTCCAAGGACCTGCCATGGATACTGAAACCATGGATAGTAGCAAACCCTATATGTAAGTCCTATACATACCATTTATAAAGTTTGATAAATTATGCACAATAAGTGGAGAATTATCACTTTTTCACTGATGGGAAGCACTTCACGGCTCTCTTCGGCTCTGAAAAACTGCCAGCTTTTCTACCTTTGTGTTTTGGGGCCATTATTATGCAAAATTAAGAGGTATTTTTGGGCCACAGTAAACTGTGGATAACTGAAACCTCGAATACCGAATCAGTGGATACGGGGGTTCTACTGTACTATTAAGCACTTCTGGCAAGGCAGCTACTGAATGAGTAATGGTGAATATGTTTCCTTTTTTCTGGGCCACACTGCCTCAGCAGGAGACAGCCAGACTGTTAAAAAAAAAAAAATGGATGTTTCCTTACACCTGCTGCCCCTGTTTACCTTGCTGTAAAAAAGTACACCTACCATCCGACTTACAACCTGCTCGACTTACGACCACTCGACTTACGGCCGTGTTTTTATGCCAAATTTCTGGGAAATAAACAACTATTTGTGTTGTACACAGTGTTTATCTTAAACCTTACAGTATAAAATACAGTACTAACAACATAAAAAGTAAAGTAAAACATGAAATACCAAAATAAAACAATAAAATAAAGTAAACCATACCTCCGGCCGGGATTGAACCCGCGGTCATAGAGTCTCAAAACTCCAGCCCGTCGCGTTAGCCACTAGACCAGCTAGCCACAATAAGATTCATCCAACTAGGTATATTTCTACACCATAGGAAGGTTAGCACAGGCGGGTTCAATCCCGGCCGGAGGTATGGTTTGTTTGCAATCGTGTCATTATGATTTCTTGAGTCAATAAAATAAAGTCATTACAAAAATGTTTTGTTGATATTCAGTAGTAAAGTTCGACTTACGACCATTTCGACTTACGACCGGTTTCTCGGAACCGAACTCGGTCGTAAGTTGGATGGTAGGTGTATTAGGAAAAGATGAATAAGACACACATGAAATAGCTGGACAGCTTTGTTGCCAAGACAAAAGATCACTTAAATGCTGTAAATAACAGAGGTAGTGGAGAGGTAGATATGTGATCATTCCTTTAGCCATGAAGTAAATTTGAGGTAGTCAGTCCCTTGGCTTTGGTTAAATGTTCAGCTCCATTGCTTTCATCAATGTGTAATTGAGGCATGAGAAAGCAGTCTATTATACAAGAGCCAGTAATGAGGTGTAGAAGTTAGAGGTGGGGCAAACCAGAGGAAGAAGGAACACTTATCCAGACTGACGGACTGATTACCTCATATTTTCCTCTCCATTACTTCTGTTGTCTCCAGTATTTAAGTGACCTCTCTTTCAAGAGGCAAAGCATCCCGACAAAAATATATCCAACTGTTGCACATGTGACTTATTCATCTACTTGTAAAAATTATATACATAAAAACAGTGATGGAAAGACAATTTAAATGCAAACTGTACATGGTGAATGTGAGAAGAATGAAAGACAAGAAATAAAGACTAAGATTAAATATGATAAATGATACCATGTCATTATGCCTCAGCTGGATGTCATAAAAAATCTGTCATTTTGCAATGTGAACTCACCGTCGATCATACTGGCAGCTGACAACAGCACTGCTAACTTGGAGAACTTGTAGCTTTGGCACAAGGGTATGCCAAGCACGATCATCAAGAACACGATGTCCAGCATACTGACCTTCTCCTGGCACTACTTCAATGAGCCATAGAGATTCATTCTCATCATATACCTAAAAACAAATATCAGCAAATTTTAAAAATTCTGTACAGATTTTTTTTTTTTTTTTACCTCATGAGCCATTTTCCACCAAGGAAGGGTGACATCCCCAAAAATGTATTTATGTAGGTAATATTGTTTGTAACAAATAATAAGATAGAAGCTGACATATTAGTCATTAAATAGTGGAAACAATGCAGTAGATAACTGACAGTGTAGTCATACTAGTTTCAGTGTAATCATACTAATTTCCCATGATACTAATGGGTAAAATATGAGAAACTATGAAATAACAGATATCAGTGATTTACATTATTTCTTATTTTTTTTACCACATCTTCCCACCAAGGAAAGATGACCCAGAGAAACACACATTCACCATTATTCATTCCATAGCTATCTTCCCACAAGTGTGTAGACATCACAATTCAAATGAGCCTCAGCACTGCAACATCCCCACCTATCCTGAAACAGTGAAGATACTGTATTTCCCACCACGAGAACTCAAGTCTACTTGGTTTTCCTGGCTGTTTTCATAAGTGATACCTTTTTCACACTTCAATAACATGTCACATTCCAAAAACAACCTGTTTTACACATATTAACATGATCACACATGCTTGCTGGATGCTTAACCCTTTCAGGGTTTCAGTCGTACTAGTACAGCTTACGCACAAGGGTTTTTGACGTACTAGTACGCCTAAATTCTAGCGCCCCCAAATCTAGTGAAAGCTGGTAGGCCTACATATGAAAGAATGGATCTATGTGGTCAGTGTGCGCAGTATAAAAAAAAATCCTGCAGCACACAGTGCATAATGAGAAAAAAAAACTTTGACCGTGTTTTTGGATTAAAACAGTGGCTTTGCACTGTATTTTTGTATGGTATTTATTGTTGTATTCTAGCTTTCCTGGTCACATTTTATAGAATGGAAGACATATTACAGAAATTGAGATGATTTTGACTGGTTTTACAAAGAAAACTACCTTGAAATTGCACTCAAAGTAGCAGAAATGTTCCATTTTTACCAAAGTTCAAAAGTAAACAAATCATGCTGTGTCCAATACACGTCAACTGGTGAGTCTAATATTCTTTCACAAGTGCGCTGATAATATTTATACCATTTCTACACCAATGTAGTAGTCTGCATAACAGTAAATCTTCTATTTTTTTGTGAGAATAAAAATTCAAAGTGGAAAGCAAAAGAATGTAAGAGGGGCATGGGGACATGACTAATGAACAGAGGAAATGTTATTTTAGTACCAGGAATGTCTTTTTTGTTTATTCTGGGCCCTATTCGGAAATTGGCATTTTTTGAAATTTGTGTGAAATTGGCAAAATTTCTAAATTCTGACCACTATATTGGATAGTTGAAATTGGTAAATGGGTGGTTTCTTGTACTCATTCGATAGAAAAAATGGAGTTCTAGCAAAATAGTTATGATTTTTGTCGACAAGTACACTGGAATTGGCCGAAAATAGGGCTCAAAGTGGGTAAAATCGCCGATGCGAAACACCGTCGAGACCACTAACTTCGCGAGAGCACAATTCCCTAAGTTTTCCATCAAATTTCATACTTTTGATGTCATTATGACCGGAAAAAGATTCTCTATCTTTTCATAAGATTTTTTTTTTTTTTTTGTGAAATTTGGCCGACCCTGAGAACAAGTCTCTGAGAGGGCCTATCGACCCTGAAAGGGTTAAATGGGCTATCCACTATCCTATTCTAAAATATTTTCAGTTATTTATTTCATAAGTTATTACAGAATACACATTTGAAACTATTTTTTTTTTTTGACATACACTGGCTATCTCCCACTGACTAGGGTGACCCCACAAGAAAGGGAACACATTCACCATCACTCATTCAATAGCTGTCTTGTCAGAAGTGCACAGACATCACAATTTAAACAGCCCTCAAAACTGCAATATCCCCCACACCTTTAGAGTGCAGACACTGTACTTCCCACCTCCAGGACTCAAAGCTGGCTAATCAGCTTTTCTGAATCCCTTCATAATGTTATTATATTCACACTGCAACAGCATGTCAGGCTTACACAAGCTTACTAGATGCTCCACCCCCCCAGCACACCAAACCACCTTTAACCCTTTGTATCTATACGTCTTACGAGCCAATGTGTTTGACATATATACAGTTAAATCTGCCATACGAAGCATTTGAACGCAAAATTTTTGCCTCGCCTCACGATAAAAAACTCGCCTTACGTGATTCGTCTGGGACGCATCCCACATGTGGCCTCAGCGCCAGTGTTTACAAGCCAGCCAGTGCGGTCGCATCTACGCATACATTCGGTAATTATCCCAGTGTTTTTAGTGCTTGTAACTGCAAAATAAGTCACCATGGACCCCAAAAAAGCTTCTAGTGCCATCCCTGTGGTAAAAAGGGCGAGGATTAGTATAGAATTGAAAAGAGTGATTAAGGAAATGTGTGCAAAGTGGGTTGAACTGCAAGCCGTGTTGGCAACCTGTACAATGACAATGTTATGGCCCATTTTAGGAAAGTCTTAAAGGAACAGGAGGTACAGAGCTCTATGGACAGATTTGTTGTGCGACAGAGGTCCAGTGACTCTCAAGCTGGTCCTAGTGGCATTAAAAGAAGAAGGGAAGTAATCCCAGAAAAAGACTTGCTACCTCAAGTCCTAATGGAAGGGGATTCCCCTTCTAAACAATAACTTCCACACTTTCCCCTCCTCCCATCCCATCAATCATCACCAGATCTTCAATAAAGGTAAGTGTCATGTATTCTATTTTTAGTAGAGTAGTAATTGTGCATGTCTTCTTCAGTTTGTGTGTATTAAAAATTAATATTTCATATGGTAAAAACAAATTTTTTTTTCATACTTTGGGGTGTCAGGAATGGATTAATTTGATTTCTATTATTTCTTATGGGGAAAATTAATTCGGCTAACGATAATTTTGGCTTTCAATGAGCTCTCAGGAACAGATTAATATCGTAAGGCGGGGGCCCACTGTATACTCAAAAATTCTAGCAGCTTCAAATCAAGTGGGAGAAAGCTGGTAGGCCCGCATGAGAGAGAATGGGTCTGTGTGGTCAGTGTGTGCAGTGTAAAAAAAAATCCTGCAGCAAGCAGTGCATAATGAGAAAAAAAACTCCAACCGTGTTTTTGGATTTTAACGCCAACTTTGAGGAGAATTTTCGTATAGTTTTTATGGTTATATTCTCGCTTACATAGTCACGTTTGATAGAATGGAAAACATATAGAAATGGAGGTGATTTTGATTGGTTTTACTATGAAAAGGACCTTGAAATGGAGCTCAAAGTAGGGGAAATGTTTGATTTTTGCCGATGTTCAAGAGTAAACAAATGTCCAACTAGCTATTCTAGTATGCAGTCTTGAATGGGTTGACATTATTTATACAATTATTACAATATTGCAGTAGTCTGCATAACAGTAAATCTTCTATTTTTTGTTTGAATAAAAATTCAAAATAGAAAGCAAGAGTAATATCAGAGGGGCCTGGAGACATGACTGATGAACAAATAAAATGTTATTTTAGAGCCAGGAATGTCTGCATTGTTCATTCTGGACCCTATTTTGAAATTGGCATATTTTTTAATTTGCGTGAAATTGGGCAAATTGCCAATTTCTGACCACTTTATTGGGTAGTTAAAATTGGTAAATGGGAATTTTCTTGTACTCAGTTGATAGAACAAATGGAGTTCTAAAGAAATAGCTATGAGTTTGGTCGACTGGAATAATGGAATTAGCCGAAAATAGGGCTCAAAGTGGGCGAAATTGCCGATTCGTAAATATCGCCAAGGTCGCTAACTTCACGAGAGCGTAAGTCCGTAAGTTTTCAATCAAATTTCGTACTTTTGGTGTCATTACCATCGGGAAAAGATTCTCTAGCATTTCATAAGAAAAAATAATTTTTTTTTTCAAATATTTTGCGACACCAGGAGACACCTCAGGATTTGGGATTTATATACCTTCTTGGTTATCTTATTCTCTTCCATTCTCTCTAAATGTCCAAACCACATCAACAACCCCTCCTCAGACCTCTGAGTTATACATTTAGTTACCCCACACTGCCCTTTAATTTCTAAACTACAAATTTTCTGTATAATATTCACACCACACACTACTCTCAAATGTGACATTTCCATTGCCTCTAGCCACCTCCCTCCCAGCAGACATAGGTGACAGCTGCCACGCCTTCACCTTTACAGAGGGCCTGGAATCTTCAATCAACTTGGCATCCACCAGGACGTTGACACGTCCCCAGGGTGGCTCTCCCTTGGGCTGCTAGCGGAGTCGCTGGCCTCTCCTGCAAATAACAGATCCCGGGGCAACTTGCTGCTGTTTGCAATGGCTGTCTGGCTGTCCTGCTGAGGAGGGACAGGCACCTAGCAATGTCTGTTGGTAATGGATGAATTCCCTACAATGTTTGTTAACTGATCATTACTCTGAAAATTGTTCATGATTGTAATCATGTGTTCCTGACTGTGACCAGCTCTACCTGAAGCTCATTACCTTTGTCAATTCTCATTATTGTAACCAAATCTAGTTCATTAACTTTGTAATTAGTCATGTGTGTGACCAGCTCTACCTGGAGCTCATTACCTTTGTACTTGGTCACGATTGTGACCAGATCTAGTTCATTACATTTGTAACTTGCTCAGCTATCAAAACTTTGGAGTCCAGTCCCTGGACCAATTATGTACCTCTGTAATCTTTTGACTATCGCCCACAGGATGGGTATGGGGTGCATAATAAACATATTAAACTCTAGCCACCTCCTCCATACTGCCACAATTAAAGCCCATGTCTCACGCATGTAAAAGTGCTGGTACCACTATATTTGGGTACATTTCCTTTTTTATCTCCATAAATAAATTTCTGTTTTTCTCACAGATGCCTTAACATACCACATACCTTTTATGCCCCCTCATTTATATGATATGTCCACTCCCAAATACCTGAATGCATTCACTTCCTCCATACTCCCTCTCTCTGATTTGATATCCAGTCT